ATTTATTTTATCGACAGTCATTCAGTCAGTCAGCCAACCTCACCTTTGCCACCGTCTTAACGAAAACTAGAAATCTAATTCGGCTAAATAAAGATTTCCATGTAAACACTCACGCAACCACTGAATAGCGGCAAATAAAGGAGCATTTGGTGTTTCCCCGCACTGAAGCACTTTGAAGTGAGTGCGCATCATAGTTCTCCAGCTATGGTCTGGGTGGTTGGACGGCCAGAGAAAGACAAACTAATTTCAAGTTTATTTAAATCTAAACAAATGTATAACTGGAGCATCCGACATGGAGATGAAATTAGATTTCATCTCAGAATGCCACAAGTCGAGGAGAACTGGGTCAAATCTTAGAATCCTCTAAAACGGATAAAATCGCCATCCTGTACATGTGTAGTGTTTGGGCAAAAATAAAATATTTTCAAACTTGCTTGTAACTACAATTCAGTATTACAAGATTTGTGGAGACAATCGTTTTCGTTTTCGAAATAAATTATATTAGAGTAATATTGGAGAGTTAATAATGTCAAATATGTAAAACTAATTTTGGATGTATTTATAAGTAAATATGACAAAATATAATGGATATCTTCATATTTCACCTCAAATAATTTTTAATTTTTTGTTAAGGAAAAAATTTCAGAGATTTACGTGGAACTCCAATTGTGGAAAATCTTTAAATGGAAAAAATAAATGTGTGAAAAAATGTCAAATTAACATAACTTTATATTGCCGGTGTTTATTTAACATTCAGTCGAAATAGTTTATAACGAAAGCTATTCATTTGGTATCGCATATAACGACTATCGTTTAAAGCGCACAAATCCGGCGGTCGTTTTAAATAATATTTTTACTAGTTCTTTTGGATCCAAAGTTAACGATTGGATTGTTATATAACCAAAAATTAAAAAAATAGTTTTTTCCAGCTTTGGCTATGATGAAAACTTCAACACTTTCAACTTTTGTCATCGGAAATCCGTATATGGGCATAAGGAAAACCAAAATTATTTAACGGCTGACATACACTGCGATCATTTGCTGAAAGACGGGCATAAATAAAAAAGCGATTTTGCAGAAAATTTGTTTTAAATTTTCCAGTTACTTACACCTTATAAAGAACAAATTAACTCTAACAGCTTCTCAATCAGAGTATGAAAGAGATATTCATTTTTTTATTTTTCCCAAAACACAAAGTTTGATATTGCGAACAATTCTGTATTATTAACTCAAAAATCGCTATTTTTGATTTATGCCGGTATTGCAGCAAGTGAGCGATATATGGTGAAGCGATTTTCATATCAGCAACAACAACATAATAGAAAAATGCTCGATAAACACAACAACTATAATTTTCCATCATCCACAATTGTCCGTGTCGACAATTCAGTCACAACAATTCAAAAAAAAAAAAATTTTTTTTGTTTTTTTTTTCATTTTCCAAATATTTTTCACTTGATTTTCGGTCATACACATTACCGAATTATCGCATCAACATATGGAAGGCGAATTTAACACACAGCGATACGATATGTTGGAACGTAGAACTTTTGTTTAAACATAATTGAATGTGAAGGTTTTTATTTTCATTTTTGGAATGCTGGCAAATTTTTGCAGAAAATCAATATTTTAACAACTACCTAACATGCAATTGCTCTAATGCCTGAACTGTAGCACTTGAGATCCGATATCAAATCACTGCTTAGCGGGTACAGAAATGATGAAGATTTCAATTGGTTTCATGTGATCCTAATCGACATGCATTCCTCCAACAAGTATTGTGCGTGAAAGGCACAGATCTCGACAATCCAAAAGTGGCCACAGAGTTCAGACGTGCACGTACTACTACAGTCGAGTACGCTTATAACGAACTTTCTTTATAGCGAACACATTTCCTGATCCCAACGCTTGAAGACATACTTTTCATTCAAATCTTTACTCTTATAGCGAACTTTTTTATAACGAAGTATCTATTCGGTCCCATCTTTCTGCTTTTATTTAATTTAATTCGATTATAACGAACTTGTCATAAATGTACAAAATACTTAATGATGACAAACCTGCTCAAAAATTATTCTGCAATCTTCACAAAAAATCTCAGGTTCATCAAAGGAAAATAGAAGCTAGAGTATTGCCAAAAAGGACACAAAAATTACATATTTGTGAACTTAATATGTTTTTCTCCTAATCCTTGGTGTTGCCTTACGAACTTTGTCTATAACGAACTAATTTGATTGGTCCCTACTAGTTCGCTATAACCGTACTTTACTGTACTACGAAAATTTAACACTTGAAAGTGTTGTTTTTGTTGTTTGAAAATTGAAAATGTTGATCAAGACACAATGTTTATTTGTGAAATTGAAAAAGAACACGCGAAAGATTAGCAATATTATTAACTTCAAATCATTGGTTTTCGAATGGAAATTCTTTCTGTGTGCCCACATGTTCGTGACCAACATGAAAACCGTTTGCTTGTTCCTTCGAATTTGGGCAGACATTCATATTGTCGGTCAGTCGCATGTCCCATGTCCGTAATAAGCCATAAAAAACGACAACAGCGGCAACGGCAAATGCGAATGTGGACGAAACGCAAAAAAAAAATATTAACGTTTACTTTTCTTTTGGCCATCTTCATACATACGTACAAACATAGCACATGTTTGCTTGTGTCGCCCTCGTACACCCCACCTGCCCTTCTTGATCCATTTGAGTTATACACGTGAAACAGTACTCTGCCGTCTGGCCAACTAGCCAGTCAGTCAGCAACTCGGTCGTCATTTCAGTTCGTTAACTTAGGTCAAGTAATTGCAACACTAAAAAGATACAATCCCAAAAATAAGTATAAAATAACGCAACCGAAAAGAAGAAGAAAACACCGTCCACGAATAAGAAAAAGAAGAACCAGAGGAATTATAAAGAATTTATTACGCCCGTTTCATAGATACCTTCAAAAAGATGAAGATGGTAATAAATTAAAACACAGTCCAAGCAGTGAGGCATTTTATGTGACTTTTTTTACATTTCTGTTTACTGGAAGTTTCAAAGAATTGTAAAACTCTAAAATGGTCTGCCACAATAGGGCAGAAAGTAATTTTATATAATTTTATTACAATATATAATCTTTTATGAAGATGGGCTTTTTTGCTGTCTAACAAGTAAAGTTCTGAAATTGTTAACACCGCTGAAAATGACTGCTTAAACATTATCAACAACTGCCCAAAGAAAATGGAATACAAAACTGTTCGTAACATGCATTCGTAGCAGGATAGAATCAGATTTCAATATCAATATATCTGAGGTTAACAGACTGATCCTATATATATATATATGCAATATTTTAATATTCCATTTTCAAAAAATCGAATTTTTTTTCGTAGTAAATCAATGATTTTTGATGATTTAACTATGTATATATATAGAAAAATGTCTTGACTCTGATTCCGCGATCAAGTTTTTGGTTGGTGCGTGCAAAAGTTATGGAGGTTTTAATTTTGGGCATTATATATATATATATATATATATTTTAATATTTATATATTATTAAATTTCGCTGTTTATTATATTGACCAAAAGCATGGATATATGGCTTAATATGAAGATATTATAAAAATTCGTGAATTTTTTTTCGCGAAATATGGGAAAATTATAGGAGATTGTATCATTATTAAAATTATATTAAAGTCATATATCCACCTAAAAAATTATTTATAAATATGTACGTGATCTATAAATTGATAAATTGATTAAAATCACACAAGTCTGTGTAGCGGTTTGTAAATTACAACAACAACAAAACAAGATATTGAGGAAAATTATTCGTTTTTTGTTCGAAGAAATAATGAAATCATAGTAATTTTTTAATTTACTACAAGAAATTTCAGAAACAAATATTAGAGCTATTCTTTTATTTTAGTTAAAATTCACCGAAAAATTTACATATAAACTTTTCAATTGAAATTCAAAAAAATCGATTTGAAATTTGAAAAAATTTTATTTGTAATTCGTATATTTCAATTTGATATTCGTACAGTTTCATTTGAAATTTAAAGAAATTCTTTTAAAATTCAAAGAATTAAATTCGAAATTCTTAACATTTCACTTGTAATTCATGAAATTTCAGTTGTAATTCGTAACAATTAATTTCAAATTCATACATATCCTTTATGTGTTACCAAAAATTGTGTTAGGAAAAATGGAATTTTATTAATTTCAAATGGAATTCTATGAATTCGAAAGATATTCTATGAATTGCAAATTATATGTTTGTGAATTACAAATGGAATTACATTTGATATGTTTTTAATAACGTGTGGAAAAGGTGTAGTAGAGTCTAGCAGTATGGGAATAGACCAAAAGTAACCTGTCTAAAATATTCTAAATTCCGTTTTAGAAATAAATCATGACATTCCAGCAATATCCCAATAATATAGGTAACGTCTAATATTAAAATGTCGATAGCTTTAACATTATTATTTTTAAATGTAAAATATGGTGGACATGTGATTTGCATTTAGCATCACTTCACAAATATATATTATTAATTTTATTTTTATATATTTTTATATTTTTATATCATATTGATCTTCGATCAACATTTGTAATAATAGTTCTGGTCTTCATAAGGATTTTAATTTCACATTTTTATATAACAGGATTGAAAAAATATATAATTTAATATTTCGACGTTTTAAAGCTATTGTGCATAATATATTTATTTATTTAATTTCTTACATGTAACAAAGCCCACTTTGGCCAATTATTAGGGATATATAATGCAAAATCGTAGATACATGACACTACTCTATAATCAAAATATAGTTTTGAAATTCCCTGTTCGATGAACACGCAATTCACCGCAGAGATATTGTTATTTAGTTATTGCATTTGTAAACGTTCAATTGTCTAGGATTTCACTTCAGGATGACCTACATTCATATTGTCCTTGCTGCTTTTATTATTTTTAAAAACTAATATTATTATAGAAATTCGTTTTTGCTTACCGGGACCGCCTTGATAAATCCATTTTGGGTAGGGTTTAACTATTATTGTTACACAATATCCTTTTCTTTCGAGTAATGTTATTTGTAAATTCTCACTCAAACGGTGTAGATCACTTTCAATTTTCAATTTAATTTGGTTTTGCTTTTGAATAAACTGTTTTTTTTAATGTATTTTAATAATTATTTTTCGCACATATCCTTTGTAGTATCCTTGTACTCAGCAGTTATATATGTGTGTGTGCGATATAAGCACAACGGCACAGAATGGATATATCCCGCAGGACCGCGCGTTATTTTCTGCACAATATTGGGTCAAAGCAAAGAGTATTGGCATTCCTTGTCTGGAATGAATGACGAACGAACACAACCGTTGAGAAAGAGTGCCAGCGAGCAACTGACCATACTACTCAAAGCGAACTGTAAACGAAACTCTCGATCGCTCCCCAAAAGGGAAACGCGACAGCAGAACTTGTGGTGATTGTGGTAGCAGCAATACCAAAAGAACATGCCAATGCGCGCACACATACACACACACATAAGTGCTGATACACACGTGGTGGTGGTATCCCAACGGCTCCCGATGCTGAACACCACACACGATCGCCACTGATATCAGTGCTCGGTTAGTTCTCTAGTTTTTGTGGAGCTCACGAAGCAGTTCGTTCATTAGAACGCATACTTTTACACTCCCACGAATCAATCGCGGACACTTCCGCTTTATTTATGTGTGCATGTGTACGAATGAGGGACGGCGTCCTCCATCACGAATCTGTAGCACGCTTGCAAGACTCAAATTGCATATGTGTTGCCGAGTTTGCTCGAAAGGCTTGTCATTAGATTACCACACTCAAACTCTGGAAATACAAACTAACAACGGATATGAACATTTTGTCGGTGTTTCCAGGGCCTTATCGTCACCGAAGCCAGCCACAACCAACAACAACAATTCCAATTGGCTAAAGTGTCACACAGCCCCACTTGTTGATAAAACAAATCAAACTTCTATATTGAAATTCCATTTCAAAAGTTCGGGCACATTGCTAAAAATAATAATTTGGATAGTGAAGTAAATTCTCAGTGCGTTACAACCACCAATACACTCTATCGATGTGACTGACTAACCGACAAAACAAAAATATTTGTTCGGTCTCTTTCCTGAGGAGAAGGCAAACAGATAAATCCAATGCATCATTGTCCATCCATTCATTCTCGCTGAATTCTATCTGAAAGAAAGATAGTCAGAAAATATATGAGATTGGTTGGTGGTCGCCTCTGTGCGAATATTTTCACATGATCACTTATTGCAGATTGTTTGTATCTCCCTTTGTTGTTGTTGTTGTTCTTGTTATTGATGTGTTGCCAAACTTTGTATGTAATGGATGCTGTGGGAGCATTTTCTCTTCTGAGACTGTTGGAGTCTCTTAGCTAGGAACAGGTATTTTCTGGAAGAGAATTATTAAGATAAGTGTTGGCAAATTCAACGATTATTGTTTATAGCGGCGTTTATATTTCAAATTTAAAATTACATATACGATATTAAATCCACTCGATTTACGAAATCCTGTTGCGCCCGAAGAAATATATTAGTAAAAGTTATGATTTAAATAAAAAATAGAATATGATATCCCCTAAAGTCTACTAATGTCTTCAAGAATTTGGAGCAAAATGTCAGCATCCGTTTTGGGTCGATGCAGTGATTATATAAAAAAATCATACATTGGAACCTTATTGTCCATGGGGTATTCTTCTACATAGTCACTAATCACATGTGCGTTCGTTGTGTAGTTTAGCCACAAATCAGGAAAGAACACAAAAAAACTTGTTGCTTCAACACATTTTCACCCCTTTTGTATACGCTCCACCATAGTATGGAGGGTATATTAATTTTGTCATTCCGTTTGTAACTCACCGAAATATTCTTGATCAGAGTAAAATTCTAAGACGATCTAGCCATGTCCGTCCGCCTGTCTGTCCGTCCGTCTGCGGTAATCTTCTGAAGGAATTGAGATAGGGTGCTGAAATTTTGCACAATGTTGTCTTTTATCTGCAGGCAGGTAAGGTCCACGTTTAGACATAGTTCCCATATAAGGTTACCCCCCAAATTTCGGTATTTTGGGATGTCCCACAATTTTGTGTGGGACGTACCAGAAGGAGTGGACCGATATTCGCCATCTTCGAACTTTAACTAACTTTGGAAGAAATAATAAGAGGTGCAAAATTTGAATGAAATCCAACTTTTCTGAAACGGATTCGGTCCAAAGAAACATGGGGTCTAGAAGCAATATTTCGATGAGGCACATTTTCATCGTATCAAAGTGCATAAACCCTCATTAGCTATAAGTCTGTGGGTATAAATATCCATTAAAAATTACTGAAATTTGTGTTGGTGTACATTGTGGTTTACATAGGTTCACTTTTTGGTATGTTCCCTATGTTTTCATTTTAAGTACCTGTCAGTATACCTATGGTGGAGGGAATCTAAATTTCGGCCCGGCCGAACTTAAAGCTTTTTCACTTGTTTTATATTACCACCATCACAGCTTCCACGCAACTTATTATTTATTAACAATATTTTAAAATATTGACAAGAAAACTTCATTTCATATTTCGCGAATTATAAGCTTGCAAACCTCAGCTTCAAGGAATTTAAAACATTTTTGTAATTTCCCATATGTGCATCAAACTTTGTGAAATCATTGCTGAGGTGTGGAAAAATTATAAAAATTTACCATATATTTAATTTTTTTTTTAAACAGTTTTTTTATAATCATGCAAACTATAAGCACAACTCAACAAATATCACCATAATGACGTTTGTATATCCAATATTTGATTGAAGGCAAAAAACCACCGAATTACAGGCAAAAAACCACCGAATGATGCCGGTGAACTTCACTAACTGTCCACACATTTGGCAGAGTTCTTTGTATTCTGAGCGATCATCTTCCATAGAGTTTCAAATGTTAGACGAACAATTAAGCCTATATTTAGTGTATATCATCCCAATGTAAAGATCTGTCACAACAATATTTAGATCTACAATGAATATTGCCACATCAACTACCCAAAGAGATAATCGTCCTTCGTGAGATGTTGTCATTGTCTGTCATGTGTACATAAATATTGTCATAAAAACTCCATCAAAATATTATTGTTAACATGTGTAATTTCCCACTTAGAATAATTTCATGGAGCAAGGAATTCCCTAGGCAATTCGAAAATGTTACCGTGTCCCCACACAGCAACCTTGGATTTTTCCTTTTGCCTGTCACAAGTGTTATTTGAAAAAAGACCCCTTGTGGGGGGCTATTTTCGATGATGAATAAACACTTATGGATCCCGATCCCATATTTATAAATATTCATGAAATGTAAACTCATATCTCAGAGCATTTGATGGCTGCCTCACAAACAATTAAAAATATTGACATATTGTGCACCAACGCTGCACACAGGAAGGTAATGATGATATCGCCAATAAGTACATCATTCAACATCGCACTGCGACGACAATGAAAATTGTAAAATGAAACCATGAATGAAACTTGTAAAACGTTGTTGCCACATTTAAATGGTTAATTGGACGGCAGACTGTGACATTGAATAACCACAATTGGGATAATCATACGAGACTTTATTACTCACAATTACAGACACAAGTACATTGAAAACTGCAAATGTGGCTATTTTATACGCATATCCTTTTTATTTAGGTATTTGTAAGTTACGGAGTAGTATTTTATGTTGGTGTACAATGTATAACCAAATATCGTACTGTATATATATCTACCTTGTTTAGAGAAATGTAGTAGGCATTGATATATATACATATACATGTTTTATGTGAAAAAATATTTTCAATATTTTTTCCATTCCATTCAAGAACTTTAATAAAGACGTTTCTACGATATAAAACCACTGCGTGTTTCAAACTATCCAATAGGTTATAGGCCCAGAGCTTACGTGGAATATATCGGTAATTTTAATTCGTTTTGCAAGAACTGATTTAAATCAGTAATTCGTGTATTTTAACGGCAAAAATGAATGGAACAAATGTGCAATATCCCAAGCTTTCAAAGTCCAACTATCATAATTGGAAATTCAATATGGAACTATTGTTGCTGGAACGGGAACTATGGGATATCATCGTTCAAGAAGTGCCAAGTGCTCCTGATGCGAAGTGGTTAATTCGCGACGGAAAAGCAAGGGCAACTATCGGTTTAGCGGTGGAAGAATCTCAAAAAGTACATATCAAGAAGCTTAAGACAGCTAAGGAATTTTGGAATGTTTTAAAGAAGCACCATGAAAAGTCAAATTTAACAAATAAAGTAAGTCTTCTACGCCAACTGTCAACAAAGAGAATGCAAGGAGGTCAAGCGATGGAAGAACACATCACAGAATTTATGGATATTGTGGATCGTTTAAATGACCTTGGTGAGGAAATTGGTGAGCACAAAACGGTGGCATTTTTGCTTGGGAGCCTGCCGGAGGAATACAATTCGTTGGTTTCATCATTGGAAATGCGTCCAGAGAATGATTTAACCGTGGATTTGGTAAAAGAAAAACTGCTTCAAGAATTTACACGGAAATCTGAAGTTGCTCCAATGGCTGATACTGTTTTTAAAACGCAAAAGAAATTCAAGCCAAAATGTTTTTCATGTGGTAAGATGGGACACATAAAGAAAAATTGTCCGAATAGAAAACTGAATGGAAGTCGAGCAAATGTTGCGGAGAATAAGGAAAATAAAAATCATTGTTTCGGTGTTACATCGAAAAGAAAGGAACATAATTGGTTCATAGATTCGGCTGCAACATGCCATATGTGCTGCAATGAAGAATTATTTTACAGATTGAATAGGCAACGAAATGATTCAATATATTTGGCTGATGGTACCGAATTAAAAGCAAGTGGCATCGGTGAATGTCGTCTGTTTTGTCAAAATAAAGTAATATGTGTACAAGATGTTTTGTACATTCCTGAACTTGATGGAAGTTTATTATCAGTAAGGAAATTGACAAAT